GACATAACATATATATATATATATATATATATATATATATATATATATATGTGAATCTACTTTTGTTGAATGTATACGGATACATGCTTTTACACAGTGTGTGGGCTTGGCAACGTGGCTAGGCTGGCTGGTGTGCAAACCCCAGAGATCGCCAGTCTTTGCATCCCTAATGTGGAGATCACAAGCACACACCATCCCACCTGACTTTTTTGGCACACCTAGATGCTAGACATTCAACTCTGGTCCTGGAGCTTGTAATCCAGCACTGAACCAACTGAGCCATTCCCTCAGCAACCCCTCTGAAAATGCTGTGCTTTGCTTCCTGATTGGTCCCGAACTATAAAAGTGGCCCTGGAAATGCCAGGGGAAAGACCCATAAAAAGGTGCTGTGAGGTTTTTGCTCATGCCTTGGCCCCAGTGGAGTGCACAGCTACTTGCTGGGGGAAAGTAAAATGCCAGTCATCAATGGAAACACTAGAACGCCTCTTGGCTGACGTTACAGACACAGCTGAGAAGGGAGGCCTGGGACCTCCTACCATAAGGGCAGGCATGATGAAGACAGGTGTGATAAGGGATGGATCTTTTCAATGCACTTAAGTATTGGAGAAGCACTAATTCTCAGCTCAAGTCAACCTGGGAGTTTCCATAGCAACTCTAAAAGAATCACCCCACCCCTGCCTCAGTAGTCACAAAGCTGGTCTAGCTAAAATTGGCCGTAAAATTGTGAGGATTGCAAAATTAAAATTATAGTCAAATCCAAGATCCCATCAAGTCTCACCAAGTTTTTTCTCCTGTGAACCCTGGGGCAAGAGGAATAAAGTACTGGGCCCTGGTATTTGTAACGGGAACGTATGCGTTGCGGCTAAAACTGACTTCTCAACCTCTTACTTGAAGCAGTTCTTTCCTTGCCTAAGGAAGCTCTGTTTGCACTGTTTAAAAACTATGAAGCATTTTCTCCTTCTTCTCCTCTAGTTATCTGGAGCACACAAGCAATCTGACATAGCGTATTTGTATAAACAGAACCTGGATATTCACCTTTGTTCTACCTATTTGACCTTCAAAAATGCCAAACGTGCACTGAGTCCTCTGATTTTATGGCAACATAGTTACTTTTATAGGTACAGTAACATTTCCTATAGAAATTATCATGTGTAAGTGCAGAGCTGTAGTGAATATGAGGCACACAGCTATCGCAGACGAAACGGCAAAGAAAAGGAGCTAAGGCAGACTTTATGTAGTGGACACAAATCCAGGGCGTGAGGTGCAGAGGTGGCGTGTGGCAAGGCAGCTGGTCCTAACATGGTTGCTTACACAGACATGAATAAGGAATTTCATATCCTGGACCCAGGGAACATTGGCTCAGTGGACTTTGAGAAACAACATTCAAACACACTCTGAATTGTCCCATGGACAGACTCCAAGTACTCTGAGTGCTCCAAACTCTGATGAAGCAAACAGAAAGGACCACAGCCAGGCAGTCACCTTTCCAGACATCACTATTGAGGCTGGTAATGAATGCTTCTGAAACATGAAGAAGCTCATGAAATCAAGTCTGGTTTGTTTGTTTGGTTAGTTTTGGGGTTTTGTTGTTGTTGTTGTGGTTTGGGTTTTTTGAGACAGGGTTTCTCTGTGTAGCTTAGCAATCCTGGAACTCACTCTGTAGCCCAGGATGGCCAGAACTCGTAAAGATCCTCCTGCCTCTGCCACTACCACCTGGCTCATTGGGCCAATTCTTAAACAGCCTAACACTAAAAAAGAAAACAAAACAAAATTAGTAGCACAAATATCTTAAAAATTGTTTAAAATTAATATAATTTGATGGGGGATGTCCTTTTGAGTATATGTTTCTCTTATTGGTTGATGAATAAAACACTGATTGGCCAGTAGCCAGGCAGGAAGATAGGTGGGGTTACCAGACCAGGAGAAGGCTGGTGAGAGGAGGCTGAGAGAGGTCGTCAAAGTGGTGGCTGAAGAGACACTATGCTGCCCAAGGAGTAACATGCCAGATTATGGTTAAGCCACAGCCTCGTGGCAATACACAGTTTTAATAGAAATGGGTTAATAATAAAAAAGAGAGCTAGCCAGTAAGAAGCCAGCCATCGGCCAAACAGTTTTATAGTTAATATAAGTCTCTGTTTATTTGGGGCTAAACCACTGTGGGACCAGGTAGGACAGAAACCTCCATCTTCAATAATTAATAATTTTACAGATTCAAAAGGTTACAACATCTACTTAAACTCAGCTCTAGCAGCAAGGATACAATGGCAAGAAATAAACAAGATAATTTCCTAAGTGCCAATCTGATGCTAGGTGACAAACTGCCTGAGGAAGGAGTAATTAATACAGATAATCAAACAAGGCCTCCCCAGTCAACAATGTTTGCATTAAAGCAAAGGTAACAAGGGCTGGAGAGTAAAGCTGAATGACACATGCCAAAATCACATGCAGGCCGCAAAACCAGTGCAACAAGCCTGGGACACCAAGGTCAGCTTCAGGAAACTAGATGAGGTTACAGACAAGAAGGGAAGGGAGAGGACATTTACAAGACAGATCACACTGCAAACTGCAGGATTTACATTTTATGACAGTAATAAAGGAAGCCCCTAGAATGGGCTTTAGCAAGAAACGGAAGGTCTAATTTATTTTTAAGACGTTACTCTGGCTGCAATGTGGAAGACAGATATGAATTAGAAATAACTGTGGTGATGTTAACTAAGAGCAGTGCGCTGGACACATCCTGTAAACTGGTTTCACTTATGCTTTCAAAAGATAATCCATCTTGCTGTAGTGATCACTTTTCCTAGCAAAGGTATATTAATATATTCTTTTTAGCAAAGTAAACTGAGGAATATGATTGTTTAAGATTATTACTAGTTGTAAGTCTCTGATGAGATGGCTCACTGGAGAAAAGGGGATACTGTGGAAAGAGGATCTGACTCCCACAAGTTGTTCTCTGACCACAGGAAGGGACCATGGCACATGCACAATTCTCAAAAACACACCAACAAAAATTAATAGTTTTAGTTGTTTAAAGTCATGAATATTGTTGAACTATAGTTTTAAGGTGTAATTATCAGACAATACGAAGCACTTGGGTGGCACACTGTGTAGCCCTAAGGATCAAACTCGGGCCTGACAGACACTGGGCAACTGCACCACTCAACTGTCCCCAGCCTAGATGTGTTTCAAGATTTTCTGTAATTACAGGCAAAATAAGATCAGTAATGAGTTGGTAATTATTGAGGCTGCAGGATAAATATATAGGGGGTTAGTAGACCATCCCCAACTTAAAAATGGTCTAAAATTTTTCATAAATCCTTAAAGGGACTAGGGTTGGAGAAAGGAAAACAGTCATAGACAATAACTTTGTGTCTTTAAAAGGTAATTTCTAATATTAATTGTACCCAGAAGCATTTATACT